TCCTTGGCCGTTATTGGATTGCTTATGAACCTAGACAAGACAATCTGAGTTTGTTGTGAACCAACAAGATCTAGGTTTATTGCGAACCAACAAGATTTGGGTTCACCACAAACCCAAATGATCTGATCTCTCGAACCTAGATCTGGGTTCGTGAGGAACCCAACAAGGGTTCTCGCAAACCCAGATGATCTACATTCGTTGTGAACCTAGACAAGCTGGGTTCCTCTTAGACCCAAATCTAAGTTCCTCATAAACCTAGCAAGGGTTCTCGCAAACCCAACAAAGGTTCAATGCTCTAACAATCTCTCCTTCTACCTTTCTTTCCTCTTCCCCTCCTTCCTCCATCCCTTTCCCTCTGTCTAATACTTGAAAATACATGACACATTTTTTCAATTAATTGCAAAAACACCATAAAATAATAAAAAAAAACACATAATCATTGAAGACAAAACAACAATCAAAATCTATTAAAAACAACAACAAAATCTATTAAAAACAACAACAAAATCCTCAAAAGAATCTAGGGTTGTGACACCCAAATATGGGTTTGTTGAACCTAAAAATGAGTTTTTTTTTTTTTTTCAAATCTAGTGATTTTGGATTTTCAAAGAGAGAAAGAAAGGGAGGGATTGGACAACTAGGAAATGAAAAGGGAGGAAGTGAGTGGCTAAAGAAAGGATAAGGAGGGGGAGATACACAATGGAAGAGGAGAAAGGAAGATGAATAGCAATAGGGAAGGAAGACAATGAAGAGGATGAAAGTGGGGTAGAATTGCATTTTTGTTTTTTAATTTGTAAATTATTTAGTAAATGTGTAGGTCTGACTTGGCATTTTTTTTTATACATATAAGCTCATTATATGATGTATTAACAACCAAGTGTAACTTAATTGATGGAGGAATTAAAATTGTGCAATTTTTAGAATTGAAGGATTAAAAAAATGTAAAAAATAAATGAGGAATAAAAATTGTGCAACATTATAAAGTTAAGGAACCAAAATTAGCATTTAACCAAAAAATTATTATTATTACTTGAACCAGCATAAACCGATAAAGTGAAGTTGTGTGTGGGGTCACATCAAAAAGCAAAAAATAAAAAATAAACCAATAAAAACCTATTAATTTTAGTTTGATTAAGAAACGGCAGAAGGTGAAATTCAGCCCCTCTACTTCCATTTTGTGGCATATCAGCCCTTGTACTTAAAAGTAGTGCAAATCAACCCTTCTACG